TTTGTTTTAGGAGATTGAATTTTTAAAAAAATTAATAGACACTGGTTTTTGAGCAGTTTTAGGTTACAGAAAAATTGAGCATCAATTACAGAGTTCCCATATATTCCCTCACACACATCGTTTCTCCTATTATTTATATCTTCCATTAGTGTGGTGCATTTGTTAGAATTGATGAGCCAGTATTGATACATTGCCATTAACAAAAGTCCGTAATTTGCATTGGGGTTCATTCTTGGTGTTGTACATTTTAAGAGTTTTGACAAATGTATAGTGACCTGCATCCACCATTGCAGTTCCTACGGAATAGTTTTCACTGCCCTGAAAATCCCCTATTTATCCCTCCTTCCATTCCCCTGAACCATTGATAGCCACTGATCTTTTTACTATCTGTATTGTTTTGCCTTTTCCAGAATGTCTAAGGTAGGTTTGTTTTGGTTTTTAATAATAGATTTTTGATGGGGAATGTTAAAAATGATTGAACCTACTGTTAAACTTATTTATAGGGGCGCCTGGGTAGCTCAGTCTCGGCTGGGCATCTGCCTTCGGCTCGGGTCATGATCACCGGGTCCTGGGATGGAATCCCATATTGGGCTCCCTGCTCAGCGGGGAGCCTGCTTCTCCCTCTCCTACTCTCCCTGCTCGTGCTCTCTCTCTTGCTATCTCTGTCGCTATCTCTGTCTCTCTCTCAAATAAATAAACTCTTAAAAAAAAAAACCAACTTATTTTTAGGTCAGTAAACCATTTGGAAGGATAAAGATACGTAACCAAGGCTCAGATTAACAAAATCTTACATTTACATCGCGCCCCATAATTTTTACAGCATATTTGCACTTTTGTTGGCTATTTATTTTTTATTTTTTAAAAGATTTTATTTATCTGACAGAGAGAGGGAACACAAGCAGGGGGAGTGGGAGAGGGAGAAGCAGGCCTCCTGCTGAGCAGGGGGCCCGATGCGGGGCTGGATCCCAGGACCCTGGGATGGTGACCTGAGCCAAAGGTGAGCCGCCCAGGTGCCCTTTTGTTAACTCTTTAGCATCACTGGATGCTATGGAGAAGTCTGGAAGAATTATCATTGCCCTCATTTACAGATGACAAACTGCTCAGCAAGGTCAAGTGATTTGCCCAAGGGGTGAAGCCAAGTCTAAAAACCAATACTCTTTCATCTAGACTATGGTAATAAGTAGTATACTAGTGGGTGAATAGTATGGATTTTGGAGTCAAGACTCTTGGCTCTCTGCCACTTACTTTACTAGCTGTGCAACCTTGGGTGAGTTTCTCAATCTTTCTGAACCTCAGTTGCATCATCTGTAAAGTGGCAATGATGCTAACACCTACCACAAAGGATTGTTGTGAAGAATAAGAGTTGATGAGAAGCGTTCAGCACAGTGCCAGGCATGTAGAATTTTACTTGATCTGGTAGGGAGAATATATGAAAGATCCATTTCTCTTGCTTTTAGGGTGCTATTAACTTTGTAAATCTATCTACCAAGCCTTTGTAGTTTTCTCTCTTCCCAGAATCTCTCTATGATAGGTAAAATGAGAAGTCCAGTCAGGATGTGGCAAGAGTATGGGGTAGGAAGAAACCATTTCATTATCTTGTTTTTCTCCCCATTTGTGGATTTGAATCTCCACTCTTCTGGCACAGAGACTAAATAATAAAGTGACCTTCTCTTTACAACATTGTTGTCTATTTTCAAACTTTGGTCAATTTCA